GGAAGAGGGGGGGACTTTAACACCCCTCTGCCGACTTTCGCTTTTTTTTTTTTTTTTTTTAATATTTTCAAACGGTTTTTATTGACCGTTCAAGCGCTCTCTTGCGGATTTCAAGCGCGTATAAATCCTTAGCTCGTCATTGGCCAATGTGCATTCGCGCGTGTATATTGCTTTTCGCCGTCCGCGATATCGGTTTTTTTCCACGGCGCGCGCGAGACGAAAACGAAATTTTAGCCGACGCCTCGTGTATACGCGTCCGCTCGAATATAATAATAATAATATCGGGCGGCGCCGCCCGACGAGAATTCAAATGTAATGACGTGACAGGTATCACACGTGTTGATCTTCCACCTGTTGGCCATATGTTTTTATCCCCGTGTAGGTATAGACGCCGCGATCCCCGCGTCCCTGCCGCGAGCGACAGCCGTCGTCGTCGGCGGCGGCGTCGGTGGTGGCGGCGGCGGCGGCGGCGGCGGCGACGACGACGACGGAATCCACGGATGGCCGAGAGCGCCGCCACCGGTTTACGACACTTATACGCTGTAATCACGTCCACGGAAGATGGTTTGTACAGACCGCCCTCCCCTCCCCCCGAAACGATACGTCCACCGATGACATGGATCCAGTAAAGAACAGATAAGCAGACGTGTCGCCTAATGCGCACTGCACGCTCCCGTGAACGCAGCCTGTCCCGGTTTTTTTTTTTTTTATTATTCCATGAAACTTACAACGTACCGGAACGACGAAGCCGCGTTACCGACTCCGCGAATAACGCGACGACGAACCGTTGTAAACAAAATATAAATTACAACGTCATTATCGCATCAGCGCGGATGACGGTAAACATTTATTAACCGAACATTAAACCGCGGTAACCGTTGCGGTACGGGGCCGCTTTGCGAGACAGGGATATTGTATTGTCCGCAGCTCTCCGAACATAGGAACGGCCTATCCGTTCTCTATTATCTATGACCGATGACGATGACGACGGCGTACCGCTATGTCGCATTTATCTATCGTCCTTTTTTTTTTTTTTTTTTAATCGCGATATCCCCCGAACGTCGTCGTCGCCGTAGCCGTCGCAAACTTCTGCAGCCGGAGCCGGCAATAACGAAACGTCGACGCGACCGTCTGAATACGCGCACGAGATTAGATTTTCGATTTCTCTCGCGCAGAAATATACCGTAGTGCTGACATTATGCAAACCGCCCGTCTGACCGACACTGCGCACCACGACGCCACCGTTCACCGAAAAAACCGAAAAGGTAAACGACCGTGCAATTTTAGTGATATTATTACAATCGCCCGGTCCGTATTATTTTTTTTTCCGACGCGATTTTCGCCGAGCCGCCCGGGTCGTCGTCGGGTTCGTCGGACACGAATATCGACAAACGTTTCGGACGACTTTACTCCGTACCGGCGGCGACGCAAAGTGTTTCTATCCTGAACCACCGATTTAACCGATTTAAATACCCGCCGCGACCCAAAAATATCCCCCACCCACCCACCCTACCGCAAATATATTGAAATGCGTTAAATTTCAATAAAATTCGTCGAAAATTCCTTTAATGACTTTTGTTCTGTAAAACCATAATAATTTTTGTTATATTTGTGAACAACCGGACACCCATTTTTCGGGGTACCTCTTTCGAATCGCCACTGCTCCGAGCGCTCGCCGATAACGGCCGAACTCGCGGTCAGAGTTTCGAGCTTTCCGACCGGTTTCCCGGACGTCCCGCGGCCTTTCGGCGCGAAAAAACCGAAAGTTCCAAAGTCCGACCGCGGTTTATTTCCGGGCCCTTGTGTTGTTCGGTCCTCGTTTACGAGGGCGCGCGAAGAAAAATTGTTCATTCGTTTGTCTGGAGTCCCACGAATGCCGCGGGTCGACACGCCTGCCTCCCCCCCCAATTCGTTTTCTTGTCGGCTGATTAACGACGACGACTACAATAATAATAATAAGTTAATTATATTTTTTAAGATGAGGGTGCGCCGATTATACACGAATACCGTTCGGATCGAGTCGTATTCGATAATAATAAAAAAAAAAAAAAAATATGTTAATATCGGCGAGACTTGTTCAAATAATGGAGAATTTACATTTAATTTTTACGCGAATAATAATAATTTATTTAATTGCAAAAAAAAAAAAAAAAAAAACCCCGAACAAGTATTACTATATAATTTATATACCGCCCGGGAACGGTTTTCGCGAATGAAAAATTAGCGCGGTTCGCGGGCGGAACGGCGAGAAACCATCCGCGAGTCTGCAAACAATCAATTAAAATTAATCGAGTAGCACTTCGTTTTCTCGTTTCATTAACACTGCAGCAGAACCTCTGCACCAGTCGAAAATTTATCGATTATGCCGCCGCCGGAATATTGTTTATACGGAAAACGTTAAAACGCGATATTTCAACAGCATCGGTTCGTATCGGAAAAACGCCCGGTCCGCTGAAGCCGACGGTACTATCGCAATAGGGGACACGACAGTATAAAGCGGATTTTGTCGGACGAACGTGCCGTGTCGCAGTATCGCGAAATTCGCCGGACTCGACCGCGGTTTGAATTTCCTCCGAAATAAATCTAAATCGGTCCGCCGACGCATGGAATAAACCGAATAAAAAAAAAAAAACACGGCGTGTCCCCTCCGAAAAACTAATCGTTTACCTCCCCTCTCCTTAATGTATTTACGACTTTACGAACGCAATTAGAATATCGATTCGCACACGTGGCGACGATAGTTTTCCTTTTTTCCCCCTTTCGAAACTTTTAACGCAGGGTTTCCGAGGGGTTTCGGCTGTGGCTATTACTATCGCTCTCGAAACAGTATACAGCTATTGACTATCGCACGCGCACGATAATAGTGTTTGACGGCCGGCTTTCACGACAGTCCGTCGCGGTGGCGTATTTTAAACGGTGGACTTCTGACGCCGGTCGATCTGCAGCCTACGCAGCTTAAGGTTTCCAAATAAACGTGCACTTTAACCGATAAACAGATTTTACGTGATACAATTTTTTACTGTCCAATAACCTACCTTAAAAACCGTAAATACACTAAACGGTCGGTCCACTATTATAGTCACTAGTACTGTTGTCGCCCTGTTCGCAAGACAACAGTTCATGTCATTCACCAGACTCGCTGTCACTGCAGTAGAGTGAATTTCGTGACTGTCACGATACCGACCTCACTCGAGCGGACATTATTTCCATTATTCCGTATACAAATATACCGTTGTACACTGCACCGTTTAGACATTTTAAAAATTACCGTAACTTTTGAAACTAAATCAATTTCAATCGCGATAATGTCACTCAAAAAAAAAAAAATTGCATTATATCGTGTTGTCGTTACGTGAGTTTATGTTTTTTTTCTCCTGCAAATGCTACAGGAATATGATATTTGTTGAATATTTTCATTTTTATTGTGAATAAACGCGTATTTGACGTGGCTTCTTTTAATATTGACCATTAGTAAATGATTAACAAATGAAAATATTAAAAACAATCAATCGACCGACGAACCTAACCTAACGCGTAATCGGTCCTTTCGTCGTAAAATCGACCGGATAATCGAAATCGCCAAAGTGCGATACGTAATTGTCGCTGTATTATGCGGGAGATAAACAGAGAAAATAATAATTCGTTTTCGAATCTACTCGTGATCGAATTTCCCACATTCTTGTTTTTCACCGTCTGAATCCGAAAAAAATTTTAAAATCGTACGTAAAAGAGAAGGTAAAAACCCGACGACGGGTCCGTTTTCCGGACTCGTGTCGATCTATTTAAATATTATTTTCGTAAGCCCACACGAAAACGATCGCGCAAAAACTAATAAATTATCGCCGAAAGAATAGTACCGGGCGTCGTCGCGAGTGGTGCAACGCAACAACGGTATACCGATGATATTCGACGGAAACCTTTTGACCTATTGTGTTTAGGATATAGTAAACACTGCGTTGTGTTTTCAAAGGAATATTTCGTGTTATTATTATTATCATTTTTTTTTTACCGGCGCGATGCCGTGAAAAAACGATAGATAGAGAGAGTGAAAAAAATAGTAATTTATTAAATGATATTATATCGACAAAATATTGGCTTAATACGCGTTCCGGGACACGACGGTTTTTTACCATTAGGTTCGATTGTAGGTACGGTATAAATATCAACAACCACGCCAGTGCGTATATACGTAATGTGTAACAATAAAAAAAAAAAAAAATAATAATAATAATAATAATCCCCCGAAACGGTTGACAGAACGATTTTTTTTTCCCCCCGTATTCTTCGCCCCCGTCCGCCGTAAACGTTAAAAAAAAAAAAAACGCTTTCGATTCGCGTTACGCGTGCACGTCGTGTCTCTGTACATCCAAACACAATAATCGCTCGCGAGTCGCAACGTCTTCGGCGGAAAAAAAAATAATAAAAAACCCACGAGACATTAATAACTAACAATGACAATAATAGTATAACACAGGCGTGTGTGCTTATGCGTATAGGTGTACAGGTAAAAATGGCGAACGACACAACGAACGGCGGAGAGGGGAAGAAACATAATATGCGTATGTGTATATATACACAAGAGTTTATGAAAAGTTTTTATTGTTTGCCGAACAATCGATATGCGTGTATATTGGGTCTACTTCTACTCTGTATGTCTCTGTCTCTCTTTCTATCTCTCTCTCCGTCACTCTCTCTCGTATGTGTTTTTTTTTCCTTTTTTTTTTTTTTTCTGTCAAAAGCTCGCGTTCCGTGTCACGCGTCAATCCAAAATAATCCGCAGCTATTTTATATAACTCGAGGCGACTTCCATTAGGGTAATTTGCAGCGACCGCCCCGCAGTGGCGAACGCACGCGGTGCAATCGATTTCCTCCTCCTCCTTCTCCTCCTCCTCCATCTCCTCCCCCCCACCCACGTTTAGCCGCGACTTAATACGCTGTAGTATACCGTATATAGAGTCGGTGTTCGGTTTAGCGTATACCCTAGCGTATAATGTCTTTGTGATTCGTACAATGTCCACGAAAAAAAACGCCCGTCGGTCCACGAGCGGTTGTAAATTTTTTTATCTAATCGCGCGATATAAGAACGAAAAAAACGACGGAAAAAAAATAATCGCGATCAACAACTTGTTTTGAATATTATTACGCGACCGTATTTACGTCGTCGTCGTCGTAGCGGCGGAAAAAAAACCGGGGTTTTTAACGCCGTAAAATCGACGAAAAGAGAAAAACGAAAAGATTAAAACGCGTCAAACGAGACTTATCTTATCGGTTCGGGGGTGGGGAGGGTTGGGAGGGAACAAACCTCTGCCGTTTCGCGTTTAGTTGTCCGCATAATGTTATAAATATTTTTTTGTACGACAATAACAATAGCCTAACCAGCTGTCCGCGAGTTTACACGCTACGTTAAAATATCTGGTCGCACTTGAAATATCGCAACATGACGCGTGTCGGACGAACACCGTCAAAGTCAACGAGAAACGTGGCGTAAATATTGAAGACAATGCGCTAGTGATACCGCGTTATTACACTGATACCGATGCGAATGTTACGCAATGCGATTGTTACTTGCACAAAAGTTTTATGTGAATACAAGTGTCCCACGAAGACAGTGTGCCCGTTGTAATTGTCACCGGATAGACAATAAAGATAATCAAATTCGCGTCTCTTTTTACACACATTACTATCGGGGATGAAAAATGACTTTTTATTATTTTCCGAAAATTTGAATACGGCCATTTTATAGCGTTTAATCGTCTGAAAATGTTTGCGTTTCAACTTTTTAATTTCATTGAATTCGTGATTTTTAATCATTTAAACTCTATGAAATGGACGTCTTCAAAATGTTTCGAAAATAAAAAAAAATGAAAAGTAATTTTTACTGAAACATAATAAATCAATCGAAATATGAATATTTGTAGTTCGTCTCCTCGAGATTAATATGCATAAAAAAATAAATCAGAAATCGTAAAAATATTCAATGCATATGTAATTATTTTACCATAATATGACATAATATATGTTGTTGACAAAGAAACACTATCAATTGAACTCCGCTCAGAATCGTTTTTTCGTTGGCAATGGGTTTATCGTTGCTTACAGATATATATTAAATTCTCGTCTGTTTCCTACTTTCCCAACTTCCCACATACAACAGTGGCTGCGCCCACGCGCGAAGTTAATCCCTCCTTTTTTTTTTTAAATTTATATACGATGTTGTCCTGACACTTTTAAAAAAATGATTTAATAAAACGCCCACTACATTATAATACTGTCGTAGTACTATCTCGTTCGTCTTTACGATAAAAACAAACAATCCATTTACACATAGGAATTAAAACGTTAATTTTGTGTTATTCTCGTAGCCAGAGTTTTTAGATTAATATTTTTTTTTATTTTTTTTTTTTAAGTAACATTTATTGTTATCGCTCTGTTAGATTTTGCTTTTCGTCTCTCCGAACGCCATTCCTTTATAATAATCGCAATTTGATTATCTGTAAAATTACGTTTTCACTTGCCGCATTTAGAAGACGAAAAATCAGTTTTAGATAAAATAATATTAAAAAACACAACAACAATAATATACTGCGCCCGACTGGTTTTAACTCTGCGTTTCCCGCCGCATAGGTTAGTTATCGGTTTTTTTTCTTTCTGACGGAAGACCTCTTGCGGGACTCGTAGAACTCACGCTTCCAAAAATATCACCCCCCCCCATTGACTTGAAAATACAAGAAATTTACCGTCGAAATGCATATTACTATAATAGTTCAGCCGGGCTACGAGGAAGAGCACGACGTATTGATTTGAAATCGGCATTTTTTTTTAGGATCCGGCTTTTAAATTTCCTATTTCCGTAGTCGGATGGGGGTTGAGAGGACGACTTTACGATTCCTATTCGTTATGTCCTCCGGTCGAAAATTCCCGGGCACGCCACTGAATTCATTACGATCGTCGGGGACGAAAGCAAACGTGTACGACGTTTAATCCGCGCGAGGACAATACAATTATTTCCGCGGGAAATTTCGCGTCCAATTTAATTATCATTATTGTCGACTCGGAACAAACCACGTTAAAATATCGTTGATTTTTGGAGGGGGGTTACACCGCGCGCCCCCGCTACACGCGCGATTAATGTGCCGTCGTATATGGTCTGTTGACAATCTTTATCAAATACGATCGGATCCTAACAAATAATATTATAAATGTGCCGATAAATAAATAAATAAACATCGTTTTAAAACGGATACGTTCCGAGCGGAGCGAGAAATCTAAATTATATTATGTGCGTTTTTAATACTAAATCTTTCGGATCCAAACGATCAAATTATCGCCGATAACAGCCTGCTAAGAAAGGACACATAACTCGACGAGAGGCACGATTCTCGTCACCGTTTCGAACACGCGTCCGTTTGAAATCCGTGCCTCCTCTTCTCTTGCGCTTTCCGCGGTGTCTGCGGTGCGAAATACGTCAGTTTTTCGATTTTCCGAGCGGTTTTCGTATTGTAATTGGGAAAAAAAAAACCTATCGAAAACGGGAAAACTCACGTACACGTGTCGTACACGTTTATACAGAAAAAACTTCGCTCCGAATCGCTTTTCGTTAGCGGACGGTTTATCGTAGCGTACCGGTATACAGCGAATTTCCCCACTACCTTTCCGGAATTTCACCCGCAACGGTGGCCCACCCGTCGTTCCAAGTATGTTCTTTTTTTTTTTCTTTTTTTTCCATGTCGTTTCCGTTATTGTGCCCGCGGGATTCTTTATGGCATTTTCGCTACTGGTGCCGCTGCGGTGACTACGCCGCTACACTCATTCAACGCGGTATCGTTGCCAAAATAATCTCTTGAACGGGATTCTTTTTGTGTGTATTTTTTTTTTTTAACTAAAAAACATCCCCCGGCTTCCCGACATCGTCGAACGCTCGGCGATGTTTCGAAAAAAAGCGAAAATGCGCGTTGAAGTTACCGCGGCAGCGAGTTGAAAATCGCGAATTAATTGCTAACCAGTGTCCGGCTTTTGTACAAAAAAAAAAAACAAAATCCGGTCTCATAAGATACAACGCGATATAACACGGGAAAACCGTAGTTTAACAAATATAAAAAAAAAAAAACCCTATAAAAAGCGTACATTTTACGGTGTAATTATAATTATTGTTGTGTCCACTGTTTTTCATACGTCGACTGCGTATTTTTCTGTTCGCAGAATATGCGGGAACCATCAAGAGCGAGTACCCGACGCAAACCGCGTCCGCCTCGTCCACCGCCGACATACCGTCCGCTCGGGTGGCAGAAGCGCAACACGCGTTGCCGCCGCCACCCACGCCGGCCACCGCGACGCCCGTGCTGACCGTGCTCCAGTACCAGCGACCGCGGACGTACACCAGCACCGGTGTGGCCCTGTCGCTGCCGCCCAAGAAGAAAGACATCTACCGGCCGTACTCGCTGGACGACCATAAACCGATCAAATGGCCGCGGCCCGAGGAGGACATAAACGCCGCGCAGGCCATACTCGACTTGAGCGCTTCGACGCCGATCGTCATACGCCCAGCGCCCCAGCGGCAGCCGTCGCCGCCCCCGACGTCCATACCGCTACTGCCGCCCAAACAAGAACACCACGAACAACTTCTACCGCCGTCGCCCGCGGCGACACCGCCGCCGCCGCCGCCGCCGCAACAGCCGCAGCAACAACAGCAAGTCGAGGCCGCCGCCGCCGCGGTCATGCCGGTCCAACAACAGATCGCCGTGATCGAACTCCAAACGCTGCGGCCGCCACCGCCGGCCGTACCGATAGTCCCTCCGCCGTCGCCGGCGCCCACCAGCAAGACGGTGGCCTACACTTATGAAGCGTTTTTCGTCAGTGACGGCCGGTCCAAGCGCAAGTCGTCCGCGGCGGCGGCGGCGGCCGCGACCGCGTCCACCGCGTCCGGCGACGAGGGCGCCGAAAAGTCGGCGGGGGCCCCGGCGGTCGGGGCGGCCGGCGGCGCGTTGGCCGTCGCCGCCGCCGTCGGGGCCGACTTTGGCGGCACGTCGCCCGGCCGCCCGTCCAAGTACACGTGTTCCGAGTGCGGCAAACGGTACGCCACGTCGTCCAACTTGTCCCGGCACAAGCAGACGCACCGGAGCCTGGACTCGCAGTCGGCCAAACGGTGCAACGTGTGCGGCAAACCGTACGTGAGCATGCCGGCGCTGGCCATGCACCAGCTCACGCACAAGCTGACGCACGCGTGCGACGTGTGCGGCAAGATGTTCAGCCGGCCGTGGCTGCTCCAGGGTCACCTGAGGTCGCACACCGGCGAGAAGCCGTACGGCTGTGCACACTGCGGAAAAGCGTTCGCCGACCGGTCCAACTTGCGCGCGCACATGCAGACCCACTCGGGCGACAAGAACTTTGCGTGCCCGCGGTGCTTCAAGTCGTTCGCACTCAAGTCTTACCTGAACAAACATTTAGAATCGGCCTGTCTGCCGGCCGCAGCCGCCGCCGCCGCCGCCGCCGCTGCGGCCACGGGCGCCCCTTTGTCGCCGTCACCGTCGTCCGCCATGTCGTCGTCGTCGTCCTCGTCGTCGTCGTCTTCTTCGACATCCTCGTCTTCATCGTCGTCGACGACGTCGTCGGCCGCCTCGTCGCCGTCGCATCAACAGCACAACGTGCACCAACAGCAGCCACAACACCACCAACAGCATCTGCACCATCACCAACAGAACACCACTGCCGCCGAAATCACCAATCTCAACTTGTTGCGTCCTACGGTGCTGCACACCGTCTAAAAAACCGTCGTCGTCACCAAATATACTATTATCCTCTCGCCTCTTCCTTCTCCTCCTTCTCTTCCTCCTCCTCCTCCTCCACTTCGTCCTCTTTCTCATCCGTCGACTAAACGGTTTTTCCGGTTTTCCATTGTAAATTTCTCTCCCCCCCGCCCCCACCTCCCCAAACACATATTCTGGTCGTATTTTATAGTCATTTTTTTTTTTTTTTTTTTTTTCGATCGAAAATCTTTATTATCTAGTTCATTTATTGCATTCATTACATAATAATATATTTTATTTATATTTTATTTTTATTTTACGGTTATAGGTTTACGTATAGTACGATAAGATGATATATTTTATTTTTCTTCTTTTTCACACAGACATCACTAGTCACGCGTTTCTAGTCAATTGCGATTCTACAGATAAACAATATATATATTAACATAACGTAATACATTTACGATTTTATTTTACGTATATGAAAAAAAAAAAAATAAATAAATAAACATTGATTATAGTTATACAATATTCGACATCACGTAAAATGAAAAAAAAAAAATATATATAAATCGGTTTAAGTTTTCATTTCTATTATAATATTTAATTAAAAATAAAAATAATATAATTAATATAAATATAGTTTTTTTTTTCTGTTAGTATTATATTATATTATTCGCGAAGGGACGTGCAATATAAGCGTGTGTGTTTTTTTTTTTTTTTTTTTTTTTTTTTTTGTTACAGTCAGTTTTTATCATCTCGCGTTATAACACTTAGGCGATAGGTATAGCGTTTAACGAAATTCATTATTTTCTAGACGTCTTAGAGTATAGTTTTGAAAAAAAAAAAACAAAAACAAATTTTTTTTTTTTTTAAATGTGCGGTTGGTTCCTATACGATACCTTGTCCGACCCTGCGTGTAGTACGACGATATTATTATTTATAATACGATAATATATATCGTTTATTCGGAACATTTTCCAGCGGTTGATAAAAATATATAATTATAAAATTTAAAAAAAAAAAAAATAATAAAAATTATATTTTTTTCATTTTCGTTTTCATTTTATTTTTTATTTTTTTTTTTTTGTTTTTTTTTTTTTTTTATATTAATTCGATATATAATATAATTGCAATTTCTTCTTTTTTTTTTTTCAAATCTTATTTTTAATTATAAATTATATATATATATATATATATATATATATGGATATTATACACGCGTATATATATCAGAGTGTGCGGTCTAGTCATTTACATTATAGACGTTTAATATTATGTTATAAATATGCCAGTTTTATTATATACGTATTAATAATAACATTTAGAATAACAATAACATTATATATTATTTATTCACATCCCGAACCCTCCCGCCCGCGGAGCTGTAAAAAAAAGTATATTATTTATTATTATAATAACATATATAAGAGAATGTGATCTCAAGTATAAGAAAAAAAAAAAAAAACAAAAACAAAAGTACATAATAATAAATAATAAACACCGTAAACAATAATATCGATTCGGATAATGTTATGTATTCGAAATATTATTCACTGTAAATATTATAATTTTAAGCGGTTTTTCAACTTTTTTTTTTTTTTTTTTTTTT